GAATAACACACTCCCGTTCCTGGATATTTTACTTGGGCATGGCCCAAACGGTAAAATAACACACAGCGTTTACAGAAAGCAAACGCACACTGATGCCTATCTGAATGCAGATTCGCATCATCACCCAGCTCAGAAATCCTCTCTTATCAAGACGCTCATACATCGGGCTAAAACAGTGTCAGATGGTGAAAGTCTAGTGAGAGAGATTAAACATGTTAAAGAAGCACTAGGACAGAATGGCTACAATAATGCTCAAATTAACAGAGCACTAAAAGCCAAATCACGATCGCAAAGCAACACTGCTGAAAGCGATCAGATTATTAAAACAATAAAAATACCATTTATCTCAGGAGTAACTGATAATTAGCCCGTGTTTTGCAAAAGCAAACATTACAGTAAGATTTGGTACAGTACACAAAATTCAACAACTAGTAACGTGCACTAAAGACGAATTACCTAAAGTATCAACAGAAGGTGTATATCGGATTAATTGTGTATGTGGCAGATGCTATATTGGACAGACAGGGCGTAACGTTAGTGTAAGACTAAAAGAACACCAGAGAATATTAAACTATCACAAACACAACTGTCGGCAGTAGCAGAACATGCATGCCAACAGGGACACTCAATTGATTTTGACAACGTGGAAGTGTTGTGTAAAACTAGTTACTACTGGCAAAGACTAATTAGAGAATCGATTGAAATTGAGAGAAACAGAAATATCTTTAATCGCTCAGACAGCTACAGGCTTAGTGCGGCCTGGAAGCGTATTATTAAATAAGATACATTACAATTCCTTATAAGGGAAACAACCACTAACTGATTACTAATGTAGCATAATCACAATAAAACACATTCCAAATGATTACTAATCTACAACTCGCATCGTAACAATAGCCTGATTACTAATCTAGTATATAATTACAATCACTCCCCCCTTGAATCTTTGCACCTGATGAGTTAATGAGTTAATGATGACGTCACCCTGCTGCTGCTCTATATAAGAACGGGAGACAGAGGAGAGCCTCACCATTCTGGCGAATTGCCCGATGATGCTGGTTGCAATTACCAGCGAAACGTCGTACTTAAATTGTAAATGTTGTGGCTTCAACACACCGGTGGGCTAAAGCAGTGAACTATTTGTCTTTGTCAACGTGACACATTTTTACTGATTGGCCGTGTCGGGTGGTGGAGGGTTACGACACATTTATAAATAACGCGATCTAAACCCAAAAACGTTGATTATTTTATTATTATATGATAATATGTTCACGATGATATTTATTAATTATATAATTATATTATTATTTTTAAACGACGTGGCAAGGTGTTGCAGCGTGATCACCGTTGTCTCATGTGACGTCAATCATACGTGACATTACCACAAAGACAAAGATCCCCAGTGTAGCCTTTAACACTTTTGGGGCAAGTGCTGTTAGCGGGGACCACCTGTGAAGACCCGGCACGGCACACGAGGGTGTGGATGACCAGCACCACGCCCGGCCCGCCTTTGTCTCCCGAGTGGCGAAGTTTACACACCACGCCAGGTACTCATTTGAGGCTGAGTCGACCTAGGGGATGGTCGAAGACCGGCACAGATATCGTCACTGGTGTTGGTCGTGAGCGGGGAATCAAACTTGGTTCGTCGGGTTTGTATTGCAGCGCAGCACAGCGCTAACCGCTACACATCCCCACATCCATAACTAATGTACACAGACAAACAAATGCAAAGGTTTATATCTTGATTTGAAGCTTTCGTGACTGCAGGAATCCATAGTCTTTGGTTCTTTCGGTAAAGTCACGTGGGTAGAAAAAAAATAATAGATCACGACGTTTCGATCGCTTATAGTTTCGAGAGAAAAAAAAACTAAACTTTTTATTTCAGAAGAAGACCCTTAGCTGCCTCAAAATAACCACAATAACAAGCACGCATGCGGATTAACAAAATGTTAATCCGAGTCCATTAATACTCGAACATTAATTGCAGCGCAACTCAGAAGGGAGGTTTCCCACACTTGATTTTAAATGCATGCAGTCAAACATAAAGACAGATTTGGCGCTGATCAAAGACTCTGCATCCACGACTGCCAATAATGAATCTCAGACAGCCCTTTATTTCCCACCCTCACCCCCCCCCCCATCGTCTTAGTGGGTTACTTTTGGGGGGGGCGAGGTGGGGGTCGTTGAAGACATTTCATTTTTATTTCAATCTATCCACCACACGGGTTGGTCGTCGGCGCCACAAGGAGGCGTCACAGCCCAACGTTTGAACTTGGCACCAACAGGAGCCTCACAGACCGACTCAGCAGACGACCATGCAGTACGTGCGGCAAGTCCTCGTTTAACGCTGTTTGCGTTACGTTACGTGGAGCACACACCAAGAACACGCGTACACCAAGAACACGTGTACACACAAGAACTTCCGTATAGCCTGAACAGCCTGTAGGGCAAGTGCTGTTAGCGAGCACCTATGAAGGCCGGAACGGTACACGAGGAGGTGGGTGGCCAGAACCACGCCCGACCGCCTTTGTCTCCCCAGTGGCGATATTTACACACCGCACCAGGTACTCATTTCAGGCTGAGTCGACCTAGGGGAGGCCCAGGACCGGTTCGTATAATCGTCACTAGCGTTGGCCGTGAGCGGAAATCGAACCCGGGTTGCCGGGTGCATAGCGCAGCGTAGCGCTAACCACACGAACACTGATATCTCAATCTCAATGTGATTCGGGCGCTTGACGCAGACAGCGTTAATTGCACGTGAGTGTATGTGGAACTTCGTTTGCACCGCACGCAGCCCATCAGGGCTGATCGGAGTTGCTCAGCGCGCGTCACGTTGGACGCGCTTAACAATCAACGGGCGCGGGCGGCGTGTAACAACCGGAGGATTTGTATTTGGTTGGGGCAGTAAATTGGTGAGGACTAGAGTTTGGGGAACTGTAGCAGCGTCTCGTCAGCAGAGTCGGGCGAGACAAACACATATTTCTGGGTTACCGGATGGTTTTGGCCAATAATGGTGCAGCATTAACGGACACACAGACTCAGATTATTGGTTCTGTGAGCGCACAGACTAGTTGGTAGGTTCCATAAGAGGGTTTTTTTTGGGGGGAGTTAGATCGCGCAAACAAAATTGTTTCGTTTAAATCCGCAAGTGAAATTCGTAAGGTTTTGTCACGTAAACAAAACGTGACAACCGCTTCATCAGTGATTAGCCTGACGCTGATTGTGATTACCAGCGAAACGATTCACACTCGAATTGTAAATGCTGTGGCTTCACTCTCCACCACACCGGTGTGCTGATCAGCACGAATTGTCCATGTTTTGTTTACGTGACAACCCTTAACTAATTGGCCGTTGTCAGGTGGTGGCGGGTTTAAAAAACAGTGATAGTTATGCGGTCTAACACCAAAAACAAACCCCCTTTATTATGGATAATATTGGTCGCGAAATCCTACCACGTATTCAATTCGTTGGTCGTAGCTCCTACATCCTATACCATTTTTATCGCTGGCACATCCGAGACGAGCCAGTCAGTGGCTTAGTTTTCCACTGACATTTCCCGAGCCGGAGCCAGAACAAACCGCGTAACGCTGGCCCCACAGGACTCCTGAAATCTGGCTCGGGAGCCAGGCAGGGCCAGGTTAGGGGAAGAACAACTCGGCCGCCTCCCGAACTGCGTTCTCTTGATGGCTCGGCTCGGTACGTGCAGTGGAAAAAAGGGGCAACGAAGGACGCGGGGATGGTGAGCACCAGACTCTGGTCGAGCACCTTGTACTGCAAGTGTAGCGGACGTTGACAGCTGCACGTCAGATGCAGCTCCGCGGGCAGGGGAGAGCTCATTAAAAGCGTCAGGCTTTGTGGTTTAATTTAATTTATAAATGATTATTTTACTTATTTGCAAACTAAAAAAAAATGAGATCATTTGAGAACGAAAGAGCCCTCGTTAGGCGCGAGACTAGAGACGTATCCTAGCGCTGCAATTTTTGTTCACGTCGCTTTGGGGTTTGATAGGAGGGGGGGGGGGGTGACATGTGATTCGTGAGACGCTCACCAAACACACAAACACACACACAAATCGTCATCACGGCATTTCGTGAACGCGTCCTTCGTTGTTGATCGCCCAACGCGACTCTCATTCTCGCCGCCGTGATCGCCATCGCCGAGTGGCTCGTACGGAAATAGCCGCAAGCCCAGAGGCGTCACCTCGCCCCCACCCCCCCTAACCCCCTCCTCGAAGTTTCATTGAGCCAGAGATTCAATTCCAGAGATTCAATTCCAGAGATTCAATTCCCGCGCGCGAAAGAATAGTCCCTTTTGTGATTGTGAACACAGCCGTCAGACAGAATTCGGAATCAAAGTATTTTTTTATTTATACCGCAGGAATCCGATGAGCTATTAAGCTCGGGTAGAGGAGCGGTGGTGCAGCGGTGAGCGCGCTGCGTAAACCCGGCGACTCGAGTTCGATCCGCGCTCAAGACCAAAACCGGCTCGACTCAGCCTTCAAATGAGTATCCTGGTGCGGTGTGTAAACATTGGCACTGGAGAGACAAAGGCGGTCGAGGGGGGGGCTGGCCACACATTCCCTGGACTTCACAAGCGCTACTCGCCAACAGCACTTGCCCAAAAGTATTTGGGAGGCTATACGGGGCATCTTTGGTCTCTTATTGTGTGTGTGTGTGTAGCACGCACTGACCGGCACAATTAATTTGTTGGCTCCGCCACCTCGTGTTTTATCCAAGGCTATATTAATTTCCGCAATCTGTTACGCACCAGATTTACATTATTATAGCGAAGATTAAGGAAGAAAAAAAAAACGCACGCTCACAAACGCAACAACAATAAAATTATATAAATATAAGGACCCAACAAAAAATAATAACTACCCATTAAACGCTTGACACCCGAGGGGGGGGGGGGGGGGGGAGGGGGTGGGTGGAAAAAAAGAAAGAGATAACTGTAAATCACGATAAATTATACACGCCGACAATTGTGAGATTTGGCAGCGTGACCTCATCGCTGTTGTCGCCCTCGTCGGTGGCGCGACCGGCTTCGGGGAGCCTCTCAAGTTGGGCTGTCAGCAGGAGGAGGTCACCATCCCACCCGTCTCCGTTGCCGTGACCCGCTCCGTGCCTGGGCCAGGCCGCAACCTCCTCGATGCGTCGGCTTCCCGGGATGCCGAACGAATCGGTTAGGAGGTCGCCACGGACACCTTCGCTGATGGTCTCGTAGAAGAGCATTGAACCCGTCACGCGATCTGCAGCCGTCCTGGCCGCGACGACGTCTGACGAGCCATCGAACTAAAGGTGTGCTTCTGCGTGCCGTCTGGAACGATCTTTCTGCCGCGATGCTAGGAAGCTTTTACATCATGTTGATTGACGAAAGTCCTTCCTTCCCGTACCTCCGATTGGGACGGTTGGCCACGTACGGCGCGAAAGAAGTTCAACGGGCAGACATGCGTGCGTTTGGTAACCCGGCATTACGTCCCGTCTAATAACACCACTTACCGTCTCAGTTCGCTCGTGATGGGTCGCATTTGCGTGTTATTATTATTTTCGTTATTATTATTTAACTCATCCGCATCGCCCTGCGTGTGCAGCTGATGTGCTTGTACGGAGGTGAGGTACCGCACAAAACTTGGAGACGGAGCGCCGAAATGTGAAGATAATTTTTATATTCATATTTTTTTAGCTCCGCGATGGAAATTCAACTCGAGTCAAATCTCCGGCATCATCCGGGCGATTGGGGGGGGGGGGCAAGGATAACCCGGATAAAACTAAAGTAATTTATTTATAAAAGCATCTACATCACGTTGCAAACACAGGTGTATTTAACAAACGTAGAATATTTGTGATCGGCAGAGCATGTCCTATCTGTTGCATTGTTTCTTGGAGTAATCGCTTTACTGGCGAATTGTCTGATGCTGCTACTTTGGCAGTGACGCACAAAATACAAAGAACAACAAAATCAACAGCCACAGTCAATGTGCTCTGGTGAGATCGCGTAAATCTAAGTGTGTCGTTAAACCCGCCACCACCCGACACAGCCAATTAATAAGGGTTGTCACGTAAGCAGAACGTGCCAATTCGTTACCAGTTCAGCACACCGGTGTGTTGGAGAGTAAACCCATTACAGCATTTACAATTCGAGTGCCGTGACGTTTCGCCCGTAATCACAACCAGCATCATCAGGCGACAGCCAGAGTTGTGGAGAAATCCTCCTCCTGTTTCGGTCTTAAAAACGCAACACATTCTCACAACAACACTGCCTTCAAATCGGCGACGTTTCTTCATTTCGCACATGTAGCACGAATAAAGATACCACCCTGAACATCGCCTGCTATGTATGGTTAGAGAACACGTGCCCTGAAGAAAGGACCATTGCCCGAATCGTCGTCCATGTTGGCGAGCGTGATGTTCAGGAGCTCGATGACAATGTTGAGCGCTGCTGCTCGCCACGACGAGAGGGCTTCAGCAGAGAGAGAGTTCGCGTCCCTCCATCCTCCTCCCTCCCCCTCCCTCCCCTCTCCCCCCTCCCCTCTACCCCTTCCCTCCTCCTCACTCCCCCTCCCTCCCTCCTCCTCCCTCCCCCTCCCTCCTCCTCCTCCCCTCCCCTCCCCTCTTCCCCCTCTCCCTCCCTCATCCCACCCCTCCCCTCTCC